TTCTCTGTAACCAAAAAGCTTTTGTTTCTGTGTTTGTCTGTTTAATTGAAAGAAAATAACGTTTATCAATAAATCTGCATGAAAAAAAGAGATCACAAAATAAACTGCCTACTTTTATTTCTTTTGTGAAATGGAGACCACTTACTATGGTTTTTTTGATGACTTCTCCACTAACAAGAATGTTTTGTTTCGCAGCCTTGCCGCCCTATTCTGCTGCTGATTTCTTGTTGATGAGTGCTGCTTGGATCCAGCCATCCTATTTCTCTGCTGATATCACTCTGCTTCATCTTGAAGTATTTGCTGTCTTTAAACACACTTGAAGTATCTGCTGTGAGGCTGTAATCAAAATTTCAAGTTTGAAAGTGTTTCAGAATCTTTATTTAGAGAAACTTCCATAAAATTATATTTCATTGTGGTTAGAGGTGATAGTCAAAAGAACATAAATAAGAAGTTTCATGGATGTCAAATTAACCTTTCTCAGAGATCATTCTGCATCAATCCAGTCTGCTGCATGGAAGAATCTGATTACTTTAATCAACACTTATGCTACTCATATCTTATCTTTTAGAACCATTAGGGTCTTCAAAACAAGAATTTTTATTTTTCAGTGAAAAGTTCTTTTCTCATTTAAAGGTTAATTTTATATAATTTTGAGGTATTTTAATCACCAAGATCTTATGCTTGGTGTTTAGCTAACAATTATATCAATGCAACATAGTAAGTATTTTTAGTAATTGCACTAGAAGACAACATTAGATCAATTTCTTATAGTTTAATGAATAAATTGCACTAGAAGACAAAATGAAGGTCATTTATAGTCTATTTAGGATTGAGCAACTTTAACTCAAGTGAACTCTTCAAAATATAATATGTTTTATAAATCAAAATTCCTCTTCTACATAAAAGCTCTACAATGTGAATTGACCAAGTAGGTTGCATGATAAGATGTAAAACAAGATGCAAAACAGATTATCCATCCAAGATGCATCATCCTTTACCATTAGATAAATTTATATTGATTTCCTGATAGTTGTTTTTAAATATAATCTCTGATCCAAGATGCATGATCCTTTACCATTAGATAAATTTATGTTGATTTCCTAATAGTTATTTTTAAATATAATCTCTGATCTCTCCCATAAATGGAGGATTCCTAACTTTGGTTCACATCAAAGGGTAGTGTTTCCAATCCTTTCCAAGATGATATCGTTGCTGTCGTTGCAATACGATAGGTTGTAAAATTTATAGGCAAATTTTTATTCTTGCGAATATCAAAGAGGCATACAAAGTAGATGAATATGTAGAACATATTTGCATGATAGTAGCATATAAAGTAGATGAATATGTAGAACATTATTTGCATGATAGTAGCATATAAAGTAGATGAATATGTAGAACATACTTGATAAAGTTCCTTGGAGTTGCAAATTACTTGGAGTTCCTCTTCGAGAAACAACCATCGATGTAGCCCATCGACAAGAGGCTACAGGTTCCTACCCACGGCGGAGGAACTCGTGGTCGACTACCTCGGTAACTGGGTCGCCGACACACCCCTCCCTTCGTGGCCGCGTGGAATCTTCTTGGCAGCGATCGGAGGGATTCTTTCCGGAGCGCAAGCCCGAGAACAGTGACTGGCTCGCGCATGGATAGAAAGGTCGGCACCGATTCTTTCAAAACGGTTGAGTTACGAATAGGTTATTCCACTCAAGAAGTCGGCGAGAAAACCATCAGCTGCCGCGAGATCGTGGGTGGGGGTGAAAGAGCTGACTTACTTTCCTTTAACGACGGTCGGCCGGTGAAAGAGGGTGGACGATGGACGAGACGAGATGTGTTCTTCCGGCTTCAAGAGACGAGTTCTCTGAAGATCTTGCATCAGGCTATCTCCGACGGCACCACCATCAAAACAGTTGAGTCCACCTTATAGACCACCGTCAAAACAAATGTCAAATAAGCCGGAAGAACACATCTCGTATTCGTACATCGTCCACCCGGAGTTCTTCTGTCGGTAGTCGTTGAAGGAAAGGCTGCTCTTTCACCTCACCACCATCTCCCGACTAGTTCTTGCTTTTTATCCAGAGTCTAAGAACCGGTGCCGGCCTTTCGATCCACGCGCGAGCCGTCCGCAAAGAAGTATCCCTCCTGCCCTGGCCGCGCTTTCGCCGTCGCCAACATCTACGGCACCGAGCCGTGGAATCTTCTTGGCAGCGATCGGCAAGAGGGATCCGAGAATAGCGACGGCTCGCGCATGGATCGAAAGGTCGGAACCGGTTCTATCAAAACGGTTGAGTCCACGTTCAAAAAGCAAGAACTTTGGGTCGAGTCCATCCAGGCAGCCCATCTCGGCCCGGAAGAACCGAGCCTCTTAGGTTTTTCAAACCCTATGGTTACGAATGGGTTCTTCCACTCTGTAAAAAAGCAAGAAATCGGCGAGAAAACCGTCGGCTGGTGCGAGGTCGTGGGTGGGACGAAAGAGCTGACTTTCTTTTAACGACGGCCGGCGAAAGAAGGTGGACGATGGACGAGATGAGATGTGTTCTTCCGGTTTCGAGAGACGAGTTCTATGAAGATCTTGCATCAGGCCATCTCCGACGGCACCACCATCAAAACAAATGTCAAATAAGTCGGAAGAACACATCTCATATTCGTACATCGTCCACCCAGAGTTCTTCTGCCGGTAATCGTTGAAGGAAAGGCTGCTCTTTCACCTCACCACCATCTCGCGCCCGGCGACGGTTTTGTTGACTAGTTCTTGCTTTTTGTCCAGAGTCTAAGAACCGGTGCCGGCCTTTCGATCCACGCGCGAGCCGTCCGCAAAGAAGTATCCCTCCTGCCGATCGCTGCCAAGAAGATTCCACGGCTCGCTCGGTCCTGTAGACGTCAGCGAATGCGACAGCGTGGACAGGGAAGGGTGTGCCGATGACCTAGTTGGCGAGGAGAAGGGAGCAGAGAGGCGAGGGGCGAGAAGACAAAGTGCCTTCATCTTCCTTGAACCCCATCGCCCCGTTCGGTCTTGCTCGACTCAGAAACAAAGGTGAGCATTTTTGGTTCGGCCTCTTGTGTCAGCGAAATGCATGAATTTTACGGCTGATTTGGAGCTTTACTTGATGTTGCCTCTTCGCCGTTGCAATACTGCCTCTTCACCGCTTCACCGCCATCGTGCTGCTGCTTCCCTTCACGCTACATATCATGTGTTGGTGCACCACTACAGGGCAGCATGTGCTGTGCCACCGATCGGTCGACAAACCGGCTCGGACTAGTAAGTCAAACCTTGGTATACATTTGATATATTTCAAGATTTATGACTTTGGGAAGACCTCACCAAAGAATTAACCCCACATCTTATCACTTGTAATGTCACATTTTCAAACACATCAGATGTTTGAAATGCCTTGTATCGGTTTATAAGGATTATAAACATCAGAGTCTACTATAAATAACTTGAGTTTAAGTATCAACGTTGGTTTATAAGGATTCAGATGATTTTACTACAGTGGATCCATCAAGTTAATAAGACAATTAGCCCATTGAGTTAGTCATGATAAATGGCACTAAAAAATTATCTAAAAAATGTTAATTTCTGTTTTGAAGACCCTAATGGTTCTAAAAGATAAGATATGAGTAGCATAAGTGTTGATTAAAGTAATCAGATTCTTCCATGCAGCAGACTGGATTGATGCAGAATGATCTCTGAGAAACGTTAATTTGACATCCATGAAACTTCTTATTTATGTTCTTTTGACTATCACCTCTAACCACAATGAAATATAATTTTATGGAAGTTTCTCTAAATAAAGATTCTGAAACACTTTCAAACTTGAAATTTTGATTACAGCTTCACAGCAGATACTTCAAGTGTGTTTAAAGACAGCAAATACTTTAAGATGGAGCAGAGTGATATCAGCAGAGAAATAGGATGGCTGGATCCAAGCTGCACTCATCAACAAGAAATCAGCAACAGAATAGGGCGGCAAGGCTGCGAAACAAAACATTCTAGTTAGTGGAGAAGTCATCAAAAAACCGTAGTAAGTGGTCTCCATTTCACAAAAGAAATAAAAGTAGGCAGTTTATTTTGTGATCTCTTTTTTTCATGCAGATTTATTGATAAACGTTATTTTCTTTCAATTAAACAGACAAACACAGAAACAAAAGCTTTTTGGTTACAGAGTA